CTTTCTCTCTCTCCTCTGCTCTCTGTGTGTCTCTGTCTCTCTCTCTGCCTCTCTCTCTGTCTCTCTCTCTGTCTCTCTCTGTCTCTCTCTCTGTCTCTCTCTGTCTCTCTCTGCCTCTCTCTGTCTCCCTCTGTCTCTCTCTGTCTCTCTCTCTCTGCCTCTCTCTGCCTCTCTCTGCCTCTCTCTGTCTCTCTCTGCCTCTCTCTCTCCCTCTCTGTCTCTCTGTCTCTCTAGGGCGACCTCTAGGGCGATCTCTTAACGATTACATTTTAATACCCGTCACAACATTATTAAGTCGACCATCTAACAACTTGATAATGAATGTTCACTTGCATTGGATGGAGCACTTTCAGCGGAATGGAAGCTTCTGCTGAGCAGTGGGTCGACGCTGGTAACACTCAGCAGAGTGGCTGATCCATTTCGTTCCAGGCAGCCGCAAAATGGCAGCACACAGCATGTCCTGTCACACCTGTAACAAGCAAAACCCTCCCTCTCCGTTCTCCGCCGAGCTAGAAGAAGCAAAATTGATACGATGAAACGAATCCCCAGTTTGATGGACCGAAAGAAGCAAGTTGGCAGAGAAGGTAATAACCAACACCATAACTCGAACCTGGTTTATCTTGCCAAATATTACCTCCCTCTGGCATCGGTCCCCATCTTCCATTTCTCTCTGATTGTAAAATTTAATTCTGTTAGAACTTGGCTTGGAATCACCGGTACATGTTGCATGTGTGCTACACATGAGTTGTATGTGTTGCTTGTAATTATCATGCACAGTCATCTAGTGCCTTGCTATGCCATCGCATGACTCTCCATCCATGTACGGCTTACCTGCACATGACACGCGTTCATGATCAACCAACCTATGTGGTCTAGCTTGTCATCGTATTGTACACATCCGGTTCTGGATCCTTCTATCTTCTTCTACTGCTTCTAGCACCTTCCGTCCAGTGCTGATAATCTGGAGTGATTGCATTTCTTTGTTCTTGTTGTTTATGTTTCCAAGAAGTGAAATCAAAATAGAATGCTCTCGCATGTTGGGTGTGTGTGCTCGAAATAAGTAACAAAGTTCAAGGATCGAACTTTACAGTACATGCATTTTCTATTGACTACTTTCTCATTTTCTCGAGTACAGCTCGCGCTTTATCGAGCCACATTTCATTTTTACCCTATCGCCATCATAACATTGGGCATCAATGCCCGTTTGGTTTGCGATGTTCAGTAAAACTTGAAAACAAAAACCAGAGACCTTCACCATCCATGGACCATGATCGGCCTCGATGCCTTACAAGAAACATGAAGCCAAGAAAAACAGTGATTCTCTATCCGATTACAATCAATAATAATTGATCTCCAATGATTTCTAACCTAGGGGTAACAGCAAATCAAGGGCAAGGTTTTTCTTTATCTGTTAGCTAGACACATCTTGAGCGGCGTAGGATCCTTTTCACACACCGGCTATCAAAGAATGGCATCTATGCATCCAACATGGCTGCCTCGTTATAACTTGTACATTTCCGAGCTCCATTCAAAGCAAAGCTACTACTTCTGAGATCGGATGCCTGGTGTAAAGACAACCGGAATTGATTATAGCCGCCGGATGAGATGAACTGGAAGATATTGGCCAGGAGTTATGGTGAGGCATGTATGCGTGCGCTCAGAAAAACGCACGCACATACTCACGCGCCCTCACTCACACGCATACACGCGCGGGCGTGCACACAAGCACACACACACACACACACACACACACACACACACACACAACCTTAAATAAACTAGCTCTCTCTCTCTCTCTCTCTCTCTCTCTCTCTCACACACACACACACACACACACACACACACACACTTCGAAGTACACACGCTCACATGCGCACGCATACACACACCCACCCCCCCCCACACACACACACACACATCATAATAATTTTTAACACACATGCCTAACACACTCGTGCGCACATACCCTTCCTGATGATGATGATCTACCTTAGTATCAGCTGGGAGCACATCCGAACCTGTGTTTACCAGACGTCAAAATTAGTGATCATCAGCCTGTCTCTCTTGAAGTCCGATGACTGCCACGCGTATTCCAATGCCAGCCTGTGCCCAGCACGAAGTACAGCGTTCCACAAGAACAGCGGTATCGCTTCATAATAATCGAGAGACCTTCGTATTCTCCAAAGCAGAGTCAGATAGGTTCATTGTGATTTTCCGTTCACGATCTCAATTGGTTACCTCGTTAGTGGAGAGCACAACTATTAAGAGTGCAGGGTACTTCTCTCATGGCGTAAGAACGTTTGCGTAGGCAGTGCGTGCGTTGGATCATCCTTCCTCTGGGACGCTTTACTTGACGAGTTCAGCCTCAGATCCACCTTGATTTCCACGCGTGACAGAGATGGCAAGCAGGCGGTCTATCTTTCACCTGATGGCTCTACTCTGGTGGACACGGTTGGCCACATGCATGTCCCAAGGAGACCGTAAGTCAGACCATCATAATTATTATTCTGCTAGAACAGCCACAAATAACAGTTTATCACTCCCTTAGTATTGACTCCAATAGATTTTTGCCATACCTAAGCAGTCAAATATTCCTGCATATTTCACTCCATAGGGCTATATTGGCCGCTTTTTTTACTCCTTTTTAGCGTTTGAACACAGGCTTTGGCTAGTCGTGATAAATCTAATATTGACTTCGTACTTGGTCAGTATAGGAAATAAAAGACCTCGTAAAAGACCTTGGCTTCGCCTCAGTCTTTTACTCGGCTTTCATTTCCTATATTGACCTCGTACCCAGTCAATATTAAGATACAAACTCAGCCTGAATCACACAGCTATTTTAGACCATGTATTTTCAGGTTGGTTACACTGGATGGTGTCGACATGGGGACAATTGCAAAAACGGTCAATTCACGGCGATGCAGATGCAGCTCTTAAAGTGATGGGTGTTGAGTAGATCAGACCCACCACCAAAGACAAAGTGGTCAAAGACCGAATTTCGCAGGCGTTGCATCCTTTGAAATTAATTCCCATGCACCAGGCCACGAGTTCCCAACTAGTTGTGGGTCGCAGAAAAGTACAGATGAAATGTATTTGAAAGCGAAGCAACACCCCCCCCCCTCCCCCAACGTTTGAAGCTCGAATTTATCAATGACATTACTGAATACACCGTAGTAGAACCCATTCTCAAGTAGAATACAAGTGCTAATGTCTTATGGTAGTTATAAAAGTAGAACTTTGGCTACAACTCCCGATTTCTGAGTTCTTTCCAATACCCAATCCACATATCTATCGTCTGGGAATTGTACAGTACAAAGAAACTCGACAGGCACAGCGTCCGGCGGAAGCAGGAGCTCTAACTCAGCTGGCACAGCAGTTGGGATTACCCTCACCATGCTCATCTTGATAAGCGGTGGGGTGCTTGTTGCGTGGCTTTTCAAAACAGGAAGACTCACCATGGAACGCATAAGAGCAACAGGTTAGTACTTGTCTATTTTTGAAAATATTACCTCTTAACGGTTGTACTCAAAGGATCAAGGATCAAAAAGCAGATGCAGCTCCTAAAGCGGTTGGAGGCGAAAGAATCAGACCAACCACCAAAGTCACCAAAAGACCGAAAATAACATTCACTTCATCCTTGAGGGTGGTGGCGTTTCTACAGATGCGGAGCGCAGTCCCTACCTGAGTCTCTCGCGAACCGTGACATTTTTAACCTGATGGATACCGGGTTGATTTTTCTTTCTCAGAGGAAGTATAAGCACAGACCTGATCAACGGAGTGTGGATTATTGGCATAGGTAAAAAATCATGTCATTGTCTGATTGATGAACGCTTTTCAAAACAAGAAAGTCTGGATAAACGTACTTATTGTCCATAAAATCCAATGCAGCCCCTTGCACATGTATAACGCATCGTTCCTTCAACTACAAAACGGTCTTTTCATTACGAATCACGTTACATCTCATAGAATGCTCGGCGGGCCTGTTTTGTCATTGGGTGGAATACATGTATGAATAACAGTTTGAGCACTCTGGCAAGGTACGTTTGGGCCTGGTTTAGATCTGGCTTTGGAAATTTTATTTTCCATTGCTATCAGGCTCGGCCTCATTTTCTCTGTGCTGCGCTGATGAGTCCACAAAGCACAAAACAGTTCTGTTTGCAGATTGTGCGTGAATGACAAAACTCTTGATGACAGGGAACGAATATTTTATGTTGCCGTCAAGTCAATGGATAATAGTATAGATAACACAAGGTATGGGCTTGGATAGCCCTTGGCGGATTATGCTGGCATCATTTCCGGCATAATCTTCGGATTTTGTCTAAATATTATGCCCTGGCGCAAAAGGACTTCTGAGACCAGACGGTCGGCATACCGATGCTGGCTGAGGATTAATGCTCCAGGCACATTTAGGCATGCTACGGGAAAATACCTGGCGAACGTTACCCCTTATAAATTATAATCCGTGCTGGCATGGTGCCGGAGTCATTGAAACGTTGCAAAGTACAACAAGAGTGCAAGGGTACAGTATAGCACCATCATTCGCATAATTCCAGCATAATGTAGCATAATCACTGGCATAATTTGGGCATACTGGAAAGCACAATTCAGCTATATTTCGAGCATAATCCGCCAAGGGCAACGCATGGACATCCAATAGATCCTGACAAGGGTCCTGTTGTAAGAAGCTCTGCCCATGTGTCATCCAAACACTTTCCGCATAATTATTATGCATCCTTGGTGGAAATGCGCATTAGGCGATTTTTAGTTAGTTGACAACAGACTTGTCTTGCATGACGCATTATCAATACAGGATGCTCGTTGGTTCCGAGGATCACAGAAGAACTTTGACTGCCGGTCACAGTGCTCAAACACGATGTACAGAGCTTAGTACAACTAAAATCCGGTGGAACAAAAAGTGATCAATTTTATAAATGTCTCTATTGACCAGTTTCATTCTGAAAGGCAATCATCAGCAGACTGACCTGCTGCTATACTCGGGGTTGTGTGGTCTTATTCGCTATAGGTGTTGTTCCGAGGATCATAACATTGCTAAGAACTGGACATTGTGCACACTTTGAAGGTATGGTGCGCACAGAGAATGACCTGAAACTTACTTGTTGTTTGAGGAACGTTTTCTGCACTCTATCCATCTCTAACTTCCAGCGGAAGACGCGTTAGCAATGATCAGGTCACGGCTGGGCAGAAAGGAAGGCGAGAACATCGGCCAGCAGCGGGTAAGATTGAAATTGTTAGCTGCTTAATTCACCTCCTATCCACACATGGCGTCTCTAGAATAATGTTTTTTTTACTTTTTATCGTTTAGAATACAATCTAAGTTAGTGACTTTATCTAACACAATAATATTTTTGTGAAACTAATTTGCACAGCAATGAGAGACAATTTCTCAGACAAAGCGAAAGCTTCTGAATCATCCACATAGCCTGTAACGTGTAAAGACTATAATTGTGTCTAGGCCTGTCTCCAAGACTCAAATCTCTTGACCAATACAGGCATGGTTTCTCTGCTGCGGGTAACCTTTATGGTAGCTTCAACAAATGTTCGGGCATGGCCCATCCCGTAGAGTGAACAATCCAAGTGTAGGCAAGCAACCAGTGACTCGGGTGGATAAACCGTGAATACCAACAGAACAATGAGAAGAGGATGAGCTTGTGAACTGTGTCGCCTGCGTAACGATATGGGTGTGGAGAGAAAGAGCGCTGGTAAAATGTGTTGGTACTGAAGTAGAAAGAAAGGGTGAGAAGTAGGGGGGGGGAGGGGGAGAAGTAGGGGGGGGGGAGGGAGGGAGAAGTATGGGGGGGGGGCTGAGAAGTAGAGGGAGGGGGTGAGAAGTAGGGGGAGGGAGTGAGAAGTAGGGGGGGGGGTGTGAAGTAGGGGGGGGGGGGGGGTGAGAAGTAGAGGGAGGCTTGCAGGGGCTCACAACAAAAGTGCTGGGAACCCAGAGCTAGAGCAGAACCATGCATCCGAAAGAGTTTTTTGCTATAGTCATAGCTCATAAATCATAGGCAAAGACAGCAAATTGCATAGTGGGAGCAAAGTGATGGTGAGGCTGTTTGCCCTTAGCCGACGGTTTCAGCCTCATGCGGACATCATGCTCACAAAAAAAAGAAGAAAAAATTGCGCCCCTTCTTATGCGTATTGTCATTTTGTCGTTCTCACCATGATGTTCATAAATTAGGATTCTTCACCCGATCGTGGTGGAAGAGCGCCGGGTCAGATCGAAGACTGTTCCTATGCATCTATTGGAGCTGAGGCCATCCCGTCTGCACCTCCTGTACCTGTACCATCGTCGTCCTTACCGTCAGCTGCAGATGGCAGTGGGCCGCCACCGTGGGCACGTCACGTGAGTGGTCATGCTCCGGCTGCACCAGCGTTGCCAGTAAGTACTGCTGTAATTTACTTCATAAATTTTCTGAACAAATGTTTTCGGTGCATAAAACTTCAATAGCCGCACCGGACATAAACGCACATCATCCGATACGGAATGGTTTCTCTGTACCTAAATTTTCTGTTCAAGTAACCTGGTCTTTTGCTCTCAAACTTAAAATATTGAGCCCAAAAAATATTTTGTAGACAAGAAAAAGGACCAAGAAACTATAAGTCACGCTGTACTGTCCACTAACACCACCAGTTACTAAACAATCAGCTCATGCGATAACATTGCACGACACTGACCGACGGTAAATGTACTGCGTGAGCTGATTTTTTAGTAACTGGTGGTGTTAGTGGACATTATAGCGTAACTTGTAGTTCCTTGGCCCTGTTTCTTTTCTATAAATTTATCCTTGGCTCTCCATCCGAGCCGAAAAATAATATTTCTGAATTTCGAGTACACCCACAGGCAATGCTAATGCCAGGGAGGTGGTTATAATTGTTGATGTAGTTGGCGTTTGGGGTTTTACGATGGCAGTCGGTGAAATCCAGCCGCAGCCTGGTGATAGGAATAGCGGCGGGCCACGCGGCCCCTGCACTTCGATACAGTGAAGGCTCGTTAGGAAGAACACTGAGAAGACAAATGTTTGCCTAAGGAGAACTAGTATTCGTAACTGTATTGGATAACACCCTGTGTATTCGCTGGGTAAAACATAATAATTATGGATAAGAAGAACTCCCGTTATTGCGAACAAACATAATCGGTCCCTTGATGTTCGTCCTAAAGAGGTTTGACTGTACAATGCCATGTGGCACTAAGCTGTGAGGTCAACAGTACATCTTGTGCTCATGTGAAGATCCAAAACAGTCTCTCTTGTCTCTCTTCGATCTTATTGACGCTGCCTGCCTGGATTGTATGTGTGCGGCGTTGCAGGATGGGGACTACCTGATGCCAGTGGAGGAGAGGATGAAATTCCAGAGCGAGGCGACAGCGCGACGTGAATCCCAAGCCGTTTCGGATTCCTACACTCCGGTTAGAACTTGCTACAGCGCACACACAGACACCGATAGGCTAGAGGACAGTATTCCCTGTCGCGTCCCTTACTCCTGCCAGATCAGATTATAATATTATCATCTTGTTTCCTTGTACTCAGCATGACAGGTGTGCAAAGTAATTCGAATGAGCCAACGCCAATGGATATCCAAGTCCACCGCTGGTCCAGGTGCTCCACACACACCACAGCCTATTAGTCATCCTGTTGTGCTGTTCTGTATTTCCTCTGCACTTTGGACAGGAGAATGAATACTTGGCGCCTGTGGAGGAGCTGCGTCGAGCCCAGGATCGGTATACGGCCTCGCCAATCTCAGCAGCTGTGCGCAAGACACCCAAAACGGAGGTGAGTTTATCGAATGGCATTGCTTTCCGGAGTTGAGTCAGGGATGGAAGCACATCCGGAGTACATGTAATACATATCCTTCTGTAGCATGCTTTAACTCCACAGGAACACAATAATTGCGCAATAAAGTCAAGTGGCCAACATACATTGCACATGTACACAAGTCAGACTTGTTGTCTGAGGATTGGCGGATAGCCATTATGAAACTCAGAGTTACAGTGTAATTCAGCCTGGTTCCACTGCTAACTTGTGTTTTAGGCTCTACCCTTGCGGTATTGAGCACTTTTTGCAAGAGTTCAACAGCATAACTTGTACAGTGGAGCCTCGTTAGGAAGAACACTGATAACTGTGATAAGACAAATGTTTGCCTAAGAAGAACTAGTATTCGTAACTATATTGGATAAAACTCTGTGTATTCACTGGGTAAAACATTATGGATAAAAAGAACTCCCGTTATTGCGAACAAATATAATCGGTCCCTTGATGTTCGTCCTAAAGAGGTTTGACTGTACATTGAAATGTACATGTACGTTTTATGTGATGTTCTACTGCAGAGGTATGCTGGGTCTGGATTGCCTGCACTGCCCTCCGGACATGGTGACCATACCTATGACCTGCCAGAACGAAAGTAATCAATTCGCACCCGATGCCTAGGAAGCAGGCCGAGATTCCATCAAGGTCGAAATTCAAAATGGCTCTTTCTCGACCACTGCATGTTTTCCCATCCCAATTTCAGTTCGGACAATGATCGATTCCCACCACGGCTCCGCTGACCTCTTAGCGCGTCTGTTGCCAGTTCAGCCACTGCAGACGATAATTATCATTATAATTTTTGTTACTCTTTACAAAGCCGCGTTTTAGGTTGTTCATTTTTTTAAAGAATTCACTCAAGTGGACATGTTTTTCGTGAGCGCTGTATTATTTTTGCTGTCTCTATTTGACTTAAGCCGGATGAACAGGCACTGCTGCCTTCTCGTCCAGCCAATGTTGATGAAGCAGTCCTGGGGTGGCTTTCACGCTTTTCTTCAGATGTTTCCCGCTTCAACTCGCTCACATTTCTGATTCTCTTTTGAAATGGCAAAGGATAATATTAACGTAGAACGAATGATTTCATTACAGACTTTTTAACCCTGGTGAACTCCCTACAAAATGATTGTTTGGCTCGAATGGAGCATGCCTTGTTGCCAAGAGTAGGTAAGCTCCCTGGCCCATGAAGTATTCCGACCAATGGCAATGTGGGTATGGGAGTCACAGAACGCACTGCAACATGTTAAAAGTCGTGCATTGAGTGTGAAGATTACGGACAATTAGAAGAGTGTGAAGATAATTATGACGTTTGTTGTCAAAATATCGTATGGCTTTCCAGTTTCGCACACCGTTCATCGAAGATAGCATCATACCAATTTTCTTGGCCCGGTGTTAAAAGAGCTCTCCTGCAGGCAGGCATAGATGCGCATGCACATGTACCTCCACAAAATTACATCAGACCAAATTACATCAGACCAAATCGGATACGCGATCACTTACATTGTAGCTAGCTCCGTCTGAAGGCAGGTGGTGGGATTTCTGAACTGTACATGTATGATGATTTTTAGAATAACAGCGTAAAGCTACAACCGAACAAGAGCTTTACGACGTAGTGTTGATGCGAGCTATGCGTGTTCTGCGCTGCCCGCTGCCTTCATTACGTAGTGACCTCTGACGCACAAGCTGGCTGGATATGAAAATGCCTTCTGACATCTTAACAGTACAGTCATGTAGATGTATATTCATTGCACTACTTGTCTTGTACTATTCAAAACTTCCAGGGTTTGCACTGGAAACACAAGCACGTTATACGGGCGCGCGCACACGCAGTAGGACCATTGTTATTAAGTTTTTTTTTAAATTATGCGAACATACACACACACACGCGCGCGCGCGCGCTGCAAACACAATACCTTCCTTCCGAAATCTCCCTTTTCTTCTGACTTCCTTTAATAGTGATTAATTAATTACAAGCCCACGCATCTACTTCACTACTGGCAGTAGTATGTATTCTTTGCTTTGGGCATAGAAGGTACTATCAATGCAGCTTGCGGACGTACATTTAACCATCTGTTTTCCTGCGTCAGTGGAGCCAGAGGTTGAATACACACATACATGTAGATCGCATGACCAAACTTTGAATGGCTCTGTATGCGAGCAAGGCCAATGACAAGGACAATGGGCCGCAGTTCCGCTTGAAGCAGCATACATTTCCATACACCTCGAAGGCGAACAATGCCTAGATTCGCTATTTAAATCCACAACAACGCTGTGTGCAACCGGATACTAGGATCTGCCCTGTGTCAGCACTGATTCAAAGGGGACTACTAGTACTAGTAGTCGGGCAAGTGCACTACGCTACTACTGCAGTGCTGAAAAACTGAAATCCGACCCCCTGATCAGCTGAGCGCACCGCTCAGGGGGTCGGATTTCAGTTGCCAGCAGTGTAGTAATAATACATGGAGAGCTAAGTTGTAACGCCTGTACAGTGTACTGTTTGCTCTGTCCAAACAGCAGCACACATCCCACCACACCCCACCAGAGCACACACCCCACCAAGCATGGGCATCCGTGAAAACCTCTATTGAGTATTGTACAGTGCTGGCAACTGAAATCCGACAGCCCTCAGCGGGGGGTTCACATTCTAGCGGTCTCTGTTTCCTACTTTTACCATCCTGTGTTGTGCCTTCGCGATGTGAGCGCACCGCTCAGGGGGTCGGATTTCAGTTGCCAGCACTCTAGATCATGTGAGCACGAGCCAGAGCGGAACGCTGGAAAAACGTACTATGACTGTACTACGAGAAGACGCACACAATTAGATAAAAGAAAGCACAACATGTGACGAGTTGCGACTAACTCCCCCACCAACTACGTAACCACATCTTTATTAATTGTACAGTCAGCGAGCGAGTGCGACAAAAAGGCACGAACTGACATGGAATGTCTCAGTACTCCTCGTCTGTTAGCGCCTTTTTTGTCGCATTCGCTAACTATAATTATGATCTGGTTACGTTGGTGGACAGTTAGTCATAACTCGTTTCATGTTTTCCTTCCTTTTATCCATGTTCACTTTGGCTCAACATCCGAGTTCAAATGTATGTAATAGAACTAGATTTAGAAGTATATTATTATTTATATTGGCTGCCGCCAATGAGCGTTGAATAAGTCGGAGAAGTAGAGATTTCCATAATAGGAGTGTTCGGGGTCCTAACCGATTTCCTCGCCCGTGTGGGGTCGGTATTAGCCGAGCAGCTAGCTGCCTGATTACCTGCAAGCGGATATCCAATGAACGTTCAGTGTTACAGTCGCTCTCGTCCAAGCTAGTTGCCTATCTGCTTTGTCCTCTGAGGATCGGCAAATGGAGCGCCACTCGTACAGGCTGGGCCTGCTGCTGCTGCTTTTGGCCATCATTGTCCTCAGCGATGCTCAGCAAGGTAACTATAGTAGTACTTGTAGAATAGGTTTCCGTGACTCACGTGCTGTCTGTGCGCGCTCGGACAAGCGAAACTTCTAAAGCTGGTGGTGCTTCTCAAGCCTTCTAGCCTTTTGAGCGCAAAAATGCACGAACTTTAATAACCATGCCCCGAGTCCTTAATTAAAATGGCTCTAGTCTTTCTGCTTCGCTCTATTTCCAGATTGGACCGCGTGCAATATACCTGTTGGAAAGGGGAAATGGAGACTTGCAATGAAGCTGTTCACGAGAGCTATGAAACACAGCCAAGCTCAGAGTTACTGCGAGAGCCAAGATGGCAATCTCTCCACCACCAGGGTCGGACACGAGCTGCAATGCGCCAAGACAGTGCTTGCAAGGAAGGCGTGTGAATGCGACGAGGCAGACCGGTGCACAACCGAATGCCAAGGTGGGGCATGCTCATGTAGAGTCTGGGTCGGCCTCGAACGACTTGCATTCCAGCGCACTAGCAGTTCTTTCCAGTCTCAAAACTGGCGGTGGACATCGCTACGTCCATCCATTATCGTTCAGGATCTGCGGTGGCGTTCTGGTGAACCCACAGACGACAACAGTCAGCTTTGTGGCTATTTGTGGCCGGAGAAGCACGGTTTGGGCGATTTTTTTTGCAATGAAAAACTCAGCTTCCTCTGCCAGAAACTCATCCCAAATGGTAAGTGTTCTTACAGGCGCTAGATACGCTAGATACAATGTACATGTATGTGTATGCACTAGTATACCCACGAGAGAATAGTGAACATACAGTTTACGTTTGCAACTTCCCGACACGCACTAGAGGTGGTCATCCAAATGACAAAGACTTGTTTCACGCCGAAAAATAAAGAAAGAACGTCCAGCAACAGGTCAACAATGAAGAGCATCAGCTGACTGAACTCTCGATATGTCACAGTCATTGTGTGTGTGTGTGTGTGTGTGTGTGTGTGTGTGTGTGTGTGTGTGTGTGTGTGTGTGTGTGTGTGCGTGCGTGTTTGTGTATACGTGTGTGGGTGTGCGTGTGCGCGCGTTTTAATCATGTTTTTTTCTCATTTTGCTAGAACCAACTCCTGTGACAGCTACGTCCAGTACTTTGCCCGCACGGTCCACGACTAAAACGCTGACGTCAACGCTACCGACGCTGGACACTACCAGTGTGTACCACGTGAAAGAACCGACGAAAGAGGTCCATGCAGATTACGACATACCAACAGGTACAGATAAGTAATTTTTTTTACTAAGGCCACAGCTTCCAATCATGACATGCAAAGCAGCGGTGCAGCATCGCAGGCATGAATCGTGGACGTGGTGACGGGGTCTGATGTGCTCCACCGACCTAGGCAAGCTCTGGTCTCCGGGGGAGCTCTACTGGGCGCTACAACGTTTACGTGTACATTTATGTTGTTGGTTTGACAGCATGAAACAAGGTGGAGGACACTGTGTTCGGAAACAGTGACCTTACTACAGTAAGACCTCACTTAACCGCACACATGATCCATTTTCCACAAAAATATCCGGATAGGCGAGGGAACCGGATAATCGAACACACATACTGTATGTATGCATGACATATGCTGTAAATCGGTAACCAACGATTTTCGTCCGGCTGGCGAGGGATCCGGATAAAAGAGGACCGGATAAGCAAGGTCTGACTGTACAACCATCCACCTTGTTTCATGCTGTCAAACCAACAACATGTGTGAACTATAATATGACTCTATGAGTTAACAAGGTTTATCTAATACTAGTAGTACTGTACTTCGAAGTAATAATAAAACAGGTCGCGTAATGAAGCAGCATAACGATAGAATGTGCAAAGTCATGATGCCTGGTCCGCTTCTGTCCTGGGTTCATCACCCCGTGCATTGCAGCCGCGAGCAAAACCAGCTCAGGCTGAGAGTTCCCTCCATGATTGCTTGTCCAAAGGGCGCATTCTGAGCCCACTCAGATCGGTCATGGTCTTCAGTGGCATGCCTCTGGCAGCAGCGCTTGCCTTGACTGCCGTGGACTGTACTAGTATTGGGTTATCTAATACCATGTGCGATTGTATGGCATGATATAATCCCAAACTGGTAAACCAGGACTAGATAAACCTTGTAGTTCACGCAATTGTTAGATTGACAGCATGAAACAAGGAGGAGGACACTGTGTTCGAAAACAGTGACCTTGCTACAACCTTCCGCGGTTGGCAGAGCCCCGGTCCCTGCGGACCATTTGAACCATATGGGTATCGCACCCAGTTCTGACCCTCGTGATGCTAGGGGGTTAGGAGACTACTCCTGATTTCGTCTTGTTGTCTTCGCTCTTTTTTAACTTGTATAAAAACTTCTTTTTCTTTTTCTTTCCAACTTCTGCCCATGGTGTCCTTCTCTCAGCTCGTCAGCTGTAAACAGTTTTTTGTCATCACCATGACACTGTCGCGAGAAGGTGCTCTCTGTAGACGGGGTTGGTGATGTCCCGACGTGGCCATGGGTAGGCCTTCACCACGTCGGAACGCCCCGGCTACACATTGGTCACGTCAACTACTTATGTTTGTAAATCACTTCATTGTTGATCTTATTGTTTCCTAAAAAACTTGAGGGAATTGAGAGTTTGTCTTTTTTACACGTTTGGGCACACACGTTGGATGCATTTACGGAAGAGCTAGATAATAACATGTATGTTCAATATTTTGTCGCTGAATTCTTTAGGAACCTGGAAACTACATGCAAGGTCACTGTTTTCGAACACAGTGTCCTCCTCCTTGTTTCATGCTGTCAATCTAACAATTATGTACACGTAACACTATTATCTCCACATCACCCTGTTTTTATTTTTGTTTATGTTTTTCACTCCATTGTCGTGAGTTCCCCTTGGGAACGGATACGAGAATATTATTATTATATTATGTACAGTGCTGTACCAGGGAAATCGCCTTTATTTTAACGGATCCTACCTGCAGCACCAGGTTCAGACCCAGCTCCCAATGTTCAAAGTGCTAGGCACATGAGCGCCAGGGGATCTTTTATCGACGAAGATGTGTTTCACTGGCCATTCAGCACTGCTATTATCACCTTTTAAAAGTGTCATCAGTATGACTCCCGCCTTGTAAGGGCTTTCGGCGTGGAAACTGGGACTTGCACCTCGGCACAGACACTCTGCCAATGTGCAGATATTGAGCCGGTATTGAGCGGGTACTGAGCGGGTATTGAGCGAGTATTGAGCTGGTATTGAGCACTCATTGAGTAGCAGTACTATTGTACATGTATAGCAATCTACATTTGACTATCAATGGCCTCAAAAGTGATCTCTCTCTCTCTCTTTCTCTCTCTCTCTCTCTCTCTCGCTCTCGCTTTCGCTCTCTCTCTCTCTCGCTCTCTCTCTCTCTCTCTCTCTCTCTCTCTCTCTCTCTCTCTCTCTCTCTCTCTCTCTCTCTCTCTCTTTTTCTCTCCCCCTCCCTCTCTCCATGTACATGTTCCCGTTTTCTTCATTCTGCTTTGCTTCTCCACATTAGATCAGGCCAGTAAGCCACATAGAGTGACGTCGGAGCATGTCCTTCCAGCTTCATCACGCACTATGAGCCCAGAGCAGCAGAGGATAACGGAGGCCGGCAACGGGGCCATTGTCGCTATGGGCGTCACGCTGGCAGTGTTCGGGCTGGCAATGCTCGTTTTGATTGTTGCCTGGCGTTCCAGATCCGTTAGATCGTCAAGGAGATTTTTTCCAGGTAAGGATCTGTACTCACGTCACGTGTGTCATCGGCAGTACTGTTCGTAACTACTGGTTTCACCCCCATCCCCCCCCCCCACCCCCACCCCCCCCCCCCCACCCCCACCCCCACCCCCACTCCTTTCTTACCTGATGTAAAGATGTAGGAAGCTCACACAACACAGTCTTACATTTTATGAAACTTTTGAGTTTTGAAGCATCTGTATTTGAAAGTGATTTTCCGTAATTACATCGGATCTGTGTATTTGTATATTTTGTATTTATTTTTTATCAAGGGGATAACCCTGGGAGAGGAGGCTTCCACAGTGAAAAGGAATTCAAATTCGATAGCAGAAATGTACGGCCTGTATGCTGTTGACTTCTTGTCTTTGCTAGAACTTCACTGGAGGTGGAAGAAGACGCGCATCTGGAGTCAAGGTGGAAACCAGCAGCGCTGTGTAAGTGTGTGTCCGAACAATACAGTCATGTACATGTACATGTAGACACTCCATAATGGTGTATGGATGTACGTATGGGGTATGGGGTATGTATGGGGTATGGGGGGTATGTATGGGGTATGGGGGTATGTATGGGGTAGGGGGGGGGATATGTATGGGGTATGGGGGGGGGGGGTATGTATGGCTGTGCTTCTGCACGATCACCTTCCGTTCAGACCTGGAGCAGTACGTACCCCCCCCCCCCCCCCCAGCATTACATTCTACGCAGATTGGAAAGGCTTCCTGTCTGAAGCCTTTCCATACTGGTACTCGATGTTCCAGTTTTGTGACACGAGAATGGCACGAGAATTAGTGTACCGCTGAGTGTACCGCTATACACGTGGTCGACACGTAGTCGACACGTTGTTGATACTTTTTTGACACGTGACCCCGTCAACGGTCTGCTTTGTGCCAATGACACTCGGTAACCGATGTCGCGTACGACAAAGACGACTATCCCGTACGCGAAATAGTTGAGAACTGCATGACGTGGACCTAGTACCTGACGGCAAGGACAACTGCGAGGAGGCCCCTTTCCGTACCCCTGACGGGAAGGAGAACTGCAGAAGTCGAACGAGGAGGCCCCTTTTCGTAACCCATACTGCAAAGTGCCATTGATGGATACCTTTTGCACCTGGAACGACCCCTTAAACGCTGTCGCGGCGACTATCCCGTAAGCGAAATAGTTGAGAACTGCTGACGTGGACCTTTTGCACCTGGAACGGCCCCGTAAACGCTGTCGTGTCGGCGGAGTGAATGTGCAGGGTACTAGGGTGAAAAGAATTGCTGCAAAGACGTCCCCTCTACTAGGCTCTAGGCCTTTGCCTTTGGAGACATCGTCGGTGAACTGAATGCGCAGGGCGAAAAGAATTGCTGCAAAGACGTCCGCTCTAGGCCTTTGGAGACATCGTGGGAACTCCTTCCGGTACTATACAAACTGCTGACGTGGCCGTGGACATGTACATGGAGAGTCATGGTGGGACTTCATGTACATGGATACATGGTGGGAATTCCTTCCGGCACCCCCGTACCGCAAAGCCAACGGTGGTTAAGGAGAAGTGCAGACGTGCAGGAAGACGAACGAGGAGGAACCAGGACGAGCGAGCAATGGCAGGACTAGCTGGACCGTAAGTAATAGCTGAATTGTGCATGACAACTTGACACCCATGCGGCACTCGCCACTTGCCACTGCATATTTCTTGTCCACTAACAATGTCTCTCCTCTGCCCCCTGTGTGTCCACGGCCCTGTTTCTGAATTGGCCCGATGAATCGAATGTCTTCCGCAACTGGAACGGCCCCGTGAACGCTGTCGCGTCGGCGACTGAATGCGCAGGAGGGAAAATATTGCTGCGAAGACGTCTCCTCTAGACGACGGTAAGGCACCCCATTGATATGTTGCCAGTGTGTGCCAGGGTATCGCGTGTACGTATAACTTCTCAAAAAAATTTAATGGTCCACAGTCGTGTCGGAAGGGTACGGTGGGACTGTAGCCATGTTACCTTCTAACACGTTATCAGGTGGAGAGTGTCTTGTACTCACGTTATCACTATATAAGGTCGAGAGCGTATTGTAGTCACTCTCTCTATTCCTGTACTTCATTACGTTTCAGGTGTACGTATAACTTTTCCAAAAAAATTAATGGTTCACGTCTTCAGATAGAGAGCGTATTGCACCCACTGTCTAGTCTCTGTAGTGCATTGAGATTTTGTTGATCGAACATGAAATGGATACAAAGACAAAGCCAGGCCAAGTACATGGCGAGATGTCGCCAGAAGAACGTCTTCAGGTAGAGAGCGTATTGCACCCACTGTCTAGTCGATTTTGTGGATCGCACATGAAATGGATACACAGACAAAGCAGGCCAAGTACATGAGAGAGTGGACGATGTGCAGATCGACACGGTCTGCGGGTACTTCATTAAAGTTACCCGTGACATAACTAGGATAAAAGTTAATCACTGCAAAAACATTGCCAAGTATGTGAGCACTTTGGACTTGACAGAAGAGTGCACGGGCGACGTTGACAAAACATACCGCGGTGACTGTCACTATCATGACAGCAGGGCACATCGCACGCAGCATCGCAGATCGTGTTGAATTGCGCATCATAATATTGCAAAATTGCTCCTGTGCATGCAAGTGGATTTCATTGCACTTCTCAGTTTGGGAAATGCTCGATTATGACAATTCTCCGTGTGAGTGCACTAGCCCTGAACAGACATGTAGGTGAACCGTTTGCGGTGTCTCATAGCCTACCTCACGACCTTCTGCTTTCTTTCTTCATCACTTGTATCTTGCAGGTATATCATCCCGTGACGACCACATTGAAGTCTGAATTTGAAGTGTGAAGATGCTTCAGCAACCACATCGTACTTTTCCATTGCTTTTATTGTGCTTCTACTGTGCATGTGTGTAACTTGTGGAGTAAACATGTGATGACATTGTATGCTGGCGACACGGTCAGATGTTCATGCGTCTAACGTACACCTGCATGTTATGCATTGAAAAGGGTTTGCCACTTGCGATCCTGGGACGAGTATCAGGTCCGCTTTGTCCTGTGTGGGCTGTATCAGATTGCTGTTCACTTCTCTATCTGTTGGATATGTGACTTTCTGCAAGTTTCTGGTGTATGATGGCCACGTCCTTGCTTGTCACTTTGTATGATAATTTACATTCTGTATTCGCTGCTTCCATGGCATGGTCTGCAAACTGCAATCCTTGGGCAAATGTCATGTTTGCTATGTTGTGCTTTGGCCGTCAGCTTGTCTACACGCTGTAGTTGAATTATTTTTGTTTCACAACTGACTTCCTCAAGTACGATGGTCACTGCTTTGCATGGCATTATACATGAAGAATTTCCTGTTTGTGCCGTGTGCATGTGCGTATGTGTGCGTGGCCACGTGTGTGTGCCGTGTGCATACACATGTTTGTGTATCTGTGTGCGGGGTAGCGAGGCGGGGAGGGCTGGTATGTATCAGTGTGTTATTGCAGTCGCATGGCTACATACAGTACATCGCGCGCGTGGTCATCATGTTTACCTTCGGGGTTGGGGTGGGGAGGGAACGGAAAAAGAGCGGAAATTATCCATATAAAAATCGCTCTGTGAGCGGTTCTGAAAAACCTTTACTGGTACTGCCCCGTCGTAAAAGTAAGAAATTAGAACTGGCCCATTGTCCCCCCAAACGCGAACTGATCCACCTAAATCGCGAATGACGGGACCCGAACGCACCAGTAGCACGAGGTTCCTACCTGTGGATGCAGATGGGGACGTTGGTCCGGACCATAGGCCATGTGCTGTACTAGCGGTAGACTTACCTATCAAAATAATAAATTCTACTACTACTACTGGTGTTACCCTATGATAATTGCCGTGATCCTGTGCCCTCCCGACCTCGTGCTACTGGTGCGTTCGGGTCCCGTCATTCGCGATTTAGGTGGATCAGTTCGCGTTTGGGGGGACAATGGGCCAGTTCTAATTTCTTACTTTTACGACGGGGCAGTACCAGTAAAGGTTTTTCAGAACCGCTCACAGAGCGGTTTTTATATGGATAATACAATGTACACGAGAGGATCAGGTCATTCATTTTCTAGCTTCAAAGTAGATACAGTACCTGAAGAGCCGCATCACTTGGACTCGACTTGCGCTTTCAACAATGGCTCGTTCCCCTCTTCTTGGCGCATGGCATGGGGCACGTACACGCGGCTGGATCGATTCAAAGCGTGAAAAGCTGTAAAGGATCTACTAGCATACATTCGCAGCCAAAGGAAACCGGTAGAACATTGGGTGATTTTTTAATACTAGTACTGTACCCTCGAGATTCGAGAACACAGTACTAACTGTAAAGCTTCGATGAAAGTTGATAAAAATGTGTACAGTACTGTACTGTCGATCTACAGTTAAGTGCTGGCAACTGAAATCCGACGACCCCTGAGCGGCGCGGCCATATTCTAGCGGTCTTTGTTTCGTAGTTTTGCCATCCGGTGTTGGGTCTTCTAAAAACTCTTTGCGATGTGAGCGCACCGGTCAGGAGTCGGATTTCAGTTGTCAGCACTGTACACTGATACCCTGCATACTGTATTTTCGTGCCCTAAGGGAGATATTACCAATAACAGATTAAAGTTGCTTGGTCTGAAAGGCGTGTGTTTACCGCCATATTGCCAGGTGTGTCTTTACCACCATAATTATTATTTTATCAACAACCATGGTCTGAATTTCACTTGTTTTAGTAGTGTATTATAGTTACTACGCAGTACTGTGCATGCTAGCTACATGTACATAATCATAATAACTGTTTTTGGTTTTGCCCGTACAAGTGGCTTGAGCAGGTAAAAAAACAAACAAAAAAACAAAAAACAATAACAGATAATCTGATTAGTTACATGTACAGTGTACCTTCAAATCCATCCAGCATGTTGGAGCGGAGTACGCGTGTCCCCCTCTTCCATTTTGGTGATAACGGACAAATTCGCACGGCGACAGCATTGCCATCAGTCACAATAGCAACACATGTACAAACTGTTGTCAAGGAAACATGTACATGTACATGTTGTTTGTCAAATTCCACTCCTTTTGTATGCGGACTGCCACCAGCATGGGAATGAGTGCACTGCACAGTGAACTCCGTTCTCTAGTCTACCTACAGTATTGGAGAACGGGTTTATTCGCCAAACCAATTGCGTGAAACCATAAAGTAAGACCGAAAGGAAAAGAAAACCCAGTTTTGCCAACACCGGTACATGTACATGTACTGCACATGGTACACTCAACTGAAGCATAAGATTGAACACAGAAGCTTGACAAGAAACCGTTACCCAAATGCCTTGCTAGTTTTCTATTGTGTTACATGTGCATGTGCATGCACCTGTAGTCCCTGCACTAATTTTCACACAGTCTGTACTGTAGAGTAGAGTGACTCTGGACTAGGCCTTGACGGATTATGCTAATATTTTCGTGAAATTATGCTTTTCGCATTGCTGAAAAAATCGCAGAATTATGCTATTTTAAAAAGGCGACGTGGAGACAATAATCTTAATAATGCAATGAATATAACTAAATGCGCACTCATATCACAACCATGGGGACGAATC